ACAAAAGGTTTCTTGTGACCCGCTCTTGACAGTCTTTAACCTATTTGCTTTCTCTTAAAAAATTTCGCGACAGGTAAAGAAGGAAGTCTCTCCCTCCTTTCCGGATTATCGTATATCATCGTCAATCGTCTGTAGGCGCATTGCATTTACAAGTATCAGAGAATGTATAAATTCGCATACCGGCACTCCTGGTGGACCGATTGGCCCTTGCTTCCCTGGCGTCCCAAAATCTCCTGGAGGGCCTCCGATACCACGTGGGCCGGGCACTGCAACATCGCAACTTCAATGGTTTCTATTCTGAGGTCACATAAAAAAGGCTTTTCCATTACGTCTACGGGGTTTCACGGGGAGGTAAATCATCCGCGACTATCAAATTCACGTGAAAAAAGCAAAGAGTTGGGTTGTGAACGCGTAAGCTCTCCCAGATGTTCAGTGGCAATTGTCTTGCCCGGTACATGTTCTCATTTATTTGGCCATGCCTTCGCTCAAGTTGAATTTGTAGGCAATATCTGGATGAATCGTTACCTCCTGGGGATCCCGGCGGTCCAGGATTGCCCGGTTTCCCTTTGGTGCTAACAATCCCGAAGGAGCCTCTGAAACAATGCATGATAGTCAGAATATCAAAAGATTGGAAGATAGGAAGCGGAACCTAGCTCCTCTGTATCCTTTGTTGCCTGGACGTCCTCTCACACCAACATCGCCAACTGGACCAATAAGTCCAGGTCTTCCGTGCAAACCAGGTGCACCAGGTGGTCCACGCACACCTCTATATCCGCGATAGCCCATCGCACCCTTCGGTCCTTGCGGGCCGGGTGGACCAGGAGGACATGGAGGACAGAGGCTTTCTGTCGGCTGAGGTGGCGTGACGTATGTCCATCCGATACTGTGTGCCGGTTCACCATCGTAGCCAGCACTTCCAGGCAGGCCAGGCTCCCCGGGACTTCTAAAAATGAACAATTTAGGTCGAGAACTTCCAGAGAGAAAGAAAGCGACATTCCGATGAAGCTCTCCCTGAGCTCCCTATTCGACCTAGAAAATGAAACAAAACTTGCCTGTTACTTGTCTTACCAGCAATTCCATTAGCAACTTACCCTTTCATTCCTGGTGGCCCTTTTTCACCAGCCGGGCAGATCTGGGATACAGGCCAGGTTTGGGCATAATGGTAGTCGAGTGAGCAACAGCCTTAATGCACGATAGTTAGTTGCCAGTTTTAATGCTTGTGAAGGTATGCGGTCAGCCTCTATCTGAAGCTTCATTCAAACGACTAGTTTGAGCTTGAGGGCTTGATGAGGGTATTTCCGCACGCTACAAAGCAAAGATATCACGGCAAGGTCACTTTGTGCGGTTACGGAAATTCTACCAATCTTTCCAACACTTGTACGATGCCACTTCGTCAAATAGAGCTTTTCGCGGGAATGACCCAACCGCCTCCCTTTCTCCGAACCCGTTTTCTTGGCACAACAGCGATTTATCCCGGCTTAAAGGAATCTTGCGCGGAAAAATCATGATTCTATTTCAGCCATAAATCACTGGCTTGAGACTCATTATCCACGATAATAGTGAAAAGAACTGAAGTATTGCTTTCGTTTTGATTAGAAATTCGAAAACTCGAAAAGGCTGCTACGCGTTCGAATTGCCCACGGACGTCTTTCACGAATGCTGGCGACGGGGATGCTCAAACTTGGTTCTTGGAGTGCATTCACTAGAAGCTCTTTCTGGCCTTCTGCTTCGTTGCATTCACATCTTACACTTCTACTCCATCCTATTCCATCGATCGATTTGTCTCCACTCTCCGAAATCGCGCGCTTTAACCCGATTCTCTCATTGCGTCGCCTGGTACGTAGCCGGCCAAACGCCGTCTTCTTTCCATGCCTCGCCTGGCTCTGCCTCCTGGTCCTTCGATGGTCCATAACGTGTAGTTTTTGTACGTTTGTTTCTCTTCAGAAACCGAATCTTCATGCGTGAAACTTTGTGTGCTATTTCCAGTGATCACAACTGACATATTCATGTTAGGAAAGAGTGCAAGAATTTTCCGCGCAAGATTCCTTTAAGGCGATCCACTTTACCCATTGTGACTTATTATGAGAAGATCAAAGAAAAATGCCACAACAATTAAAAAGGGCAATCATTCCCTAAACATTCCTGGCTAGGAGTACTTAGATAAGATCAATGGGAAGGACACAGTTTTTCAATTCGCTGCACAAGATAACAAGTACTCTCCCTTCCGAGAAAGAAGAAGAGTGTCGGGTGCAGACCATACACCACAAGTGACGACGGCCTCCAAGTAAATTTGGTTGGTAGTGGTTCATAGTGATAGCCGATTTTTGGTAAATTACGTTTAATTAGTGGAGACAAGTGATAGAATACAAGTGCGAACAGGCTAATCACCTCATTGTCAGAAAACATTTACATTTTGTGGAGGTCGTCGTCACAAGTTGGTGGTACTAATGTACTCAATCGACGCTCTTATCGTGTTTTGGAAAGGAGTATACTCTGAAAGGTTCCTCCGCAATTGGTTCGTTATTCAATTGACTTGCTGGGGGGGTGCGGGAGTGGTGTAGTGGCAGTGTACGCTTACCACTCGAGCGGTTCGCGGATTCAAATCTCTCCGGTACGCCTACGATACGCGAGCGGTTATACGAGATTCTTCTTGAAATTGCACCAAATCATATTGTAACTGTATATTTATTATTTTTATTAGGGGCGGAAGTGGTGTAGTGACAAGTGGCGCGCTTACCACGCGAGCGGTCCGGGGATCAAATCCTGGGTCGTGAGTCGCCCGGGCCAACCAAGCCTTCCATCCCTCCGGGGTCGGTTAATTGGTACCAGACTTGTCTGGGAGGATAAAAACACTGACTTGTACATCGGCTGGCCCCCGCAAGTCATTGTATAGGCCACATCGCATTCAAACGCCACTACGAATGTACAAATGGAAGTAGAATGCGTGCCGCATCCCAAAAAGGGATTGATCAACGGCAAATGCTTTATCCTTTTTTGACCTTTCATTGGATACCACATGTACTGGTTCGTTCTTTCCATTACCTTTCATTGGCTACCAAGACTTTCGTTTCCCAGCGCTAAAACTCAATTAGGGGGCATCAAATCGCGCTACAATACAGTAAGCGATCGTATGAATGGCTTAAAGATCAAATACGGCGAACCTCTTAGAAAACCTCCCCACTGTTACGATACCTTCAATTCAGAAGAAGGTAGCTGAGCAATCTGCGAGGTAGGATGAATGAAAACTCACATTTGAGTTTGGTGTAAGCATATCCGTACTGAGGTGCTGTAGGTCGTTCATACGATGGAAGCGGAGTCGGTGACGGAGGCCCAAGTGAATGTTCAGACTCGAGACTTTGCTCCTCGCCATGTGAACGCTCCATCAGATTACGGACCTCTATCCGTTGTTGCAGTAGTGTGGTTGCGAATTGGTCCTGTGATGTCCAGGAGGACTGTGAAACTGTGGCAGTCGAGGGTTGTTCCGAAGTTGACGACGATGACGTTATGTCGGGAATATCCTTCACATCTACCTTGGAAATTAGTCCAATTGGTGACGGATCCAACACATCCAGCGTTTCATAGACGTCAATCGGATTTGCAGTAACTGGCGGAATTTCGATGTGCTGAAAAAATATTTAGGTTTAGAAGCCCTAATTATGCGAATGGTCAGATGCGCGTTTCCAGGAGTGAATTCGAAGGATGATGGTGTCAAGCCCTCTAAACTTTGGAACAATTTGCTGCACTGCGAGCATCATCATACTAAATCTCCTGCGTTCAGCGGGGATGGATCTCAAAACTGTGTCCATCGCGGTTCAGTACCACAGAACCTGGGACTTCCGAACTTGTAGCTCTTTCCTCCGCACTCCCCGTGACGCGGACAATAGCCGCAACAGACTACAATCACAGACACAACAGATCTTTTCTGCAGCAGTTCTGCTCCGGTTGAATGGGCAGTCTCACAAGGAAGGCTGAGGGAAGAGCGACAGTGCCTCAACTGATGGATAATCCCGATTGCAAGGTTACTTATATAATCCCACTTAGCCACTACCTTAGTCACTCTCAACCCTGCTTTTTGAAGGCCTACCCACGAGCAAAATGGCGTGATTTTTGCACATAAGAATAAGAGCAAGGGTGGGAAGTGTGCCGTTAGGGAAGATGGAAGAAAAGTGTCTGTCGAAAGGTCAAAATAAAGGACTTTCTCATTTTTGTAACCCGGCTGTGCTGATGCAATGAGACACTGGGCGCGGAGAAGAGAGGGTAGGCGAGACAGCACAACGTCAGAGAGAGCACAGACACCCCATCTTGCAACTAGGAAAAATTAAAGTCTGGATCAAGAAGGTCCGAGATCCTTGCCACTATCGCTACTCAATTCTACCTTGCTTGACGGCTCTATCCTACCTGGCGAAAGTACTAATCTACCCGAACTCGATGTGGGGTGCGTCTTCAAGGCCCACAATCCCAAGGAATTGAAATTTGGAATTCTGTGAAAGAACAATAAATGGAACCAACAGTACCCCTTCAACACTATCTCTGTCGCCATATCCAGATCTCTGGACAGGAATCGTTGCGGAAGCCAACTGCTGGAAAAAAGATCGTTGGAGGTTCATATTCTACGCAACTTTCGCGTTCGGAACCTATGGTCACCTTTTCTCTGTCTTCAATTTCTTCACTGGCAGCTTGTCGAGCAGCTCTCCAGGAATGGAGTCGGACTCCGCCTGCTCCCTCCATAGTCATTAAATCATGCCATGATGACTCGACAATACGCTAGAACTTGGGTAAATACATTTCTAACAAATCTCTTAATCTGTAATTGTTATATATCGCGGCATTGATGCTCTGGGTCAGTGCCCGGACCACAACCTGAGAATTTTACATGAGTATAAAAATGGGTCAGTGGGGTCCTAGGACAAGTACCTCTGAGCTATTTCCTATGCTAGTATACGGCAATCAGCTGAATCAATATTGTAAGGGTCGGAAATGAGCTCCATAATAAGCTAGATTAGTGGTTCCAGGGCTCAACCTTTAGAGTGCTTCGAATTTCTTAGCTCAGCCTCTCCAGATGACTGGTTCAAATTCAATGAAATCGTTAGGAAAGAAGAGGATATTTTCCCACATTCCCAAAATTCGGAGAAATCTTACCGTAGCTTCGAGAAATTGCTCGTTAAAGAAGCTGTCAATGCGACATATCACCCAGAATATATACGGGATTCCAGTCACAAGAGCTGTCAGAGACAATACTGATATCGTCAGGCTGATGGATGCCATGCGAACGATGCTGGTGCCGCCATCCATTTTGCTCTCTGAAAATGAAAGCTAGTAAAAGACAAACGAGTACAGCGAAGCATGTGGTACTCAACGTTTCTCCAAGACTCTTAAGGCAGAAGCAGCATCTTCTGAGATTCTTAAAGTCACTGGTCGGGATTGAGTACCAAAAGCCAGTGTCTCTTTGAGTAAGAAGGAAGTAGGCTCATGAGCCGCAACACTGCCACGACTTCAAAGTGCGAGCACGGCGCTAAGGCCTTGCATTGTGTGCTGCCGTGCTGCCATCTTATCAATTGTGGCATACGTGGCGTCTGCGTCCTCTCGCGTACGTGTGCTCTCTCGCGTTTTCCCTCTCCTCGCAGCGCTGTGTCTCTTCAGCCGACGAGAGAAATTCCAGTGTTTTCTGTGGAGCTTCTTGCTTTTTTCTGCTCATCTGCGCTTCCTCGTCGCAATTGTTATTGTCCCAATTTAAAAAAAATCACTAATTTTATCTGCGAGCTGTGCCTTTAAGCGCCACTATAAGTGTACGTACTGAAGAGCGGTTGCTATGTCAGTGCCCTTACCGAAACAATTAAATCGGGCATGTGGCCCAGCCCAAGTACAGTTGCAAGCAGGTCTCGAAACGCACTGGGAGCACTCCCGCTCAGGCCAACTAAGCTTTTTTTTTACCTCACAGACATTTACTCGCTATCAGACACCGTCTGGGAGGATAACAACACCGACTTAGTCTTCGACTGGTCGGTCCAGGTGATCACATTCAAGAATGAGCCCAACCCCTATTAATAAATAAAATTGAGTGCTAAAGTGCATCTCAAAGAAAACCACTGATATCCGCAA